AAGATTATGAATGAATAAAATTTTACATTTTGGTTTGATTCTCACGCTATTATATAGCTTCCAAATATTTGGAAAGTAACAAACAATCCAAATTGACCATTTTGTCATTTTAAACAAGAGCTTGACTGGCTCAGAGTGACAAGGATTTTCTTTAAAAATTTACATTTTATGGAAGAAAATCATACCGGTTTGGAACAACATGAAGTTAATGATAACAAAATTACATTTTTGGGTGAACTACTCTTTCATTTCATTTAAAAGTACATCCACACAAGCTGTCACCTTTCAATGCCTTCCAGATAACTTGGCCACTCTTACCATCAAATGCATTAGAGGAGCAAACATTGACACACTTGTTTTTTGGGGGCACAATACTCAGAGACAAGGGTCAAGATACAACCATTAAAAGCAGGGTAATATTTTATGCATGATCCAGAGATGAAACTCTTTGCTATTATTTTGCTCTAATGCTTGACTTTTTAGGTCAAAAAAGGTATTACCAATTATGCAGTATTGCTGCACGAGCAACAAATTTACCTCTGCAAACAACCATGTTAAGAATTTCTCCACTATTCAGTTTCATAAGGGAACAAGATTAAGGTGAAACTAGCTTTGCTCAGTGCACCTTGCAATTCTAAGTAGATTAATGCTAACAACAAAATGGAAACTGAGGGGAAAATTAGGTGAGCTGTAACAAACCTGTGTGTGTGTGTGTGTGTGTGTGTGTGTGTGTGTGTCATATTTTTTGCATTACCAAATGTGTGTGTGGCTGCATTTGAGGCTAATTAAGCAGAGAGACTGAGCCGCGGGACAGCTCGCTCGTTGAAGGTGTACGCTTGATATTATTGTTGAGTAAAACAGGATGGGGCGTCCTCGCCAGCATGCATTGAGGGGAATTAAACTGCGAGAGAGAAACAATAAAAGCATGCTGGAGGAGCGAGGCATGGAGCACTTGCTTAAAAGACTAAACGGAAAGGTGATCAGAAAGCTCAAGTGCCTCCCATTATGTGCTATGACTCTTACTGGCCACCGTGAAGAGACAACAACTGAAATTAAATTCCATACAGCCTCTCTCTTTGAGCCCCAGGAGGAATCGCAGCTATATCGGTTGCTCTGAAAAGCCGAAGCTGCTTTTCACAAGCATTCTTGTTTAATTACGTTTAACTGTGCGATCTTACTAAGAAGGTGCTTATCAAGCCTTTTTTATTTGGCATTATTGTTCTTCCTGTCATTGTTCTTCCAGACAGCAATACAATAAATGCAGTCAAAGCAATGATATTTGGAGATCGATTGCTATAATTAATTTACCTTTGACTCTTTTTTTAGAATTAACATCTTTACAGCTCCAAACAGCAAATACTATTATTCTCATAAGTCGTATCAATAACAACCAAAGATAACTTAATGCAAAAGATCTGCGCTCTTTTCGTGAATACTACAAATAATGAAAAGCATCTTAATTACAACCAAGGTCTTCTTTTAACCGTGAATAAACTAAAAGACACGCAACAGTCTTTTCACACTTAAGCACAAAAGGACAGTAAAAATCAAATGGATTTACAAAGGCAGCATGCCACAGATGTCATTTCCTGAACAAGCAACATATGCACCGCATTTCCTAGACACGACCAAAAAAAAACTAAATATAAATTTGTCTGTTTTAGTTATTCAGATAAATCAGAAAAGGCTGAAATTAAGAGAATAAAAAACATTAGCTGATTAAGAAACACTGGGGGGAAGCGGTGGGTCTAATTTAGTAGCAGGACTGAGTGTCCTGAGAAAGGTCCTGTTTGCGATTCGTCAATGCAGCTCTCAGCCTTTATGAAAAGCCATGCAATTTATGGTAATGAGCTTTTTGAAGGTTATGACCACAGTAAACTAATTTGTTAGAGGAATGGCAAAAGCTGGCACAAACACTACTCAATCATTAAAGCCTGTGTGGGGAAAAAAAACTATTAAAGTAATGGTCAACTACCCTGCAGAGAAAAAAAAAAGTGCACAACACAAGCCTAGTAAGTCCGTACTGATATATAACAGGGCAAAACATGGATGTCGCATCACACAAATTACTTCTCAGGACCATTTTGAACATTAATACAGCAGAAATAAGGGCAGAAAGGAGCAGGAAAAGGCGTCAGATCCCAAACCAACGCCCAAAGCGATGACGGAAAGAAAAATAACCAGGCTGACTGGCTGAAAATGGACCATCAAGGTTGAACCACTGACATCTTAGATTAATGCATGAATTTAGGTCAGCAGTGGCCCTTCCAATATACATTGGCTTGGCCTGCCTCTGTCAGAAATAGTCAGGATTTTACATAATTCTCTACCTTCTTATTAGGGTTTTCAGACTGTCGTATATGGGGTAGGGTGAAGGGAGATGTATCTGCCCTAAATGTGGCTTCCAAGAGCCAATAAAAAAGTAAAACCCCATGGCGATCACAGAACAAAACAAATAACTAATGAAAGAGCTATAAGCCGTCGCTCAGTCTGATGCAATCACAACATATTGTTTGTGACCTTGCTTCAAGAAGGTCTTTAATAATTGCCGACATGGCGGTCTCGATAAAAATCAAAGAACACCTTTATAATATGCCGTTATTTGAATCTCATTCAAGGTAGCGTCTGTACTAGAGCAGCTAATCTCCAGCATGAGGGCGCGTGCAAAGATAGGTGATGCTGTCCAACGCCGTTCTGACCTGATATATTAACAAAGGTTTACAAGGGCATTCAACTACATATGTAGGTTTGCCCTTATTGCTGACCTTACAATGCACTTAGTATCCTGTACTTGAATAATGCTGTCTTGGCTCCTCAGAGCAATTTATTCTAACTAATGACCATCAAGAGCCAATAAATCAGCATTAGGTTCCTTTAAACTGAGCTGGTGACTCAGGCAGAGCACAGATAGAGACTGCCGTCTGATGCCTAACCTTGTATTGGCACCTCTATTGATTTTAATTAGTCTAATTAGCTCATTATTTCAGAAATCAAACGAAGCATTCATTAGGCAGAGCTTTACCCCAGTGACGCAGCATTACAGACAAATATGATAATGAAGCTGATCAATTATCACTCAAAAGGAAGTCATTAACAACCGAATTAACATAACCTCCGACAGTGACCTGGGAGACCCTTCCCCGAGCAGCTAGTCATTTCTTCTGCCGATGCTGCTCGACGGGCTCAGGTTTACTGCAGCTGTTGCCTGGAGGAGCTTCAATTAGTGCACACACCAGGCAACTGCACTTCTTCTGTGCTGTGATTTCACAAACTCACCTCTTCCAGCCTGAGCTCCTCTGCCGGTCCATCCTCCCCTGTTTTATCATCCAGCAAAACACACTGACAAAAGGAAGCAGTGTTATTATCCTCTAAAACCACAATGGGGTTGCGCTGAAGCGGGCACACCGACTCTAGTTACGACCGATGACGCCCCACAGGTACAGCTGGCGCAGAGGCCAACTTGTCACGGCTAAAGGTACAGCAGCAGGATCTTGGCATGTGCACGTTGTACACAGGAGACTATTGCAAACCTGTCAAGAACAAACCCAATACTGCAGAGGCATTTTAGATCGGCAGTTCTCAAGTTTTTTTGCGTCAGGTAGCAGAATTTAGCATGTCTAATTAGCATTGAACATCAAAACACAAAAGATCAAACACAAAAATTATGAAATAAAAAATTCAAATTAAATAATTATAAAATTTAAATTAATTTAAATAATCAATTGAATACATATAAATGAATATAAATAAAAAAATATATACATTTAAATAAATTGAATAATATACTTTAAATACATTTAAATTAATAATAATAAATCACACATTAAATAAATATAAATTAAAATAAATACATTAAAATGTATTAATTAAATGTGCAGTAAATAAACAAAAATATTAAATTACATTTTAAAATGACTTTCAATTTATATATTAATAAAAAAATAATGAAATAATGAAAATAAATTAAAAAAGTTAAATTTAAATAAAAATAAATAATAAATTAAATAAATGAATAACATTATATAATATAAAGAAATTAAAAATAAATAATATAATTTAAATAAATTTAAATGATAAAAGTACACTTATATTTAAATAATAATAATAATAATACAATAAATTAATGAATAAAAATGTATTAATTTGTTAAATTTAAATAATATTAAATAATAAATTAAATAAATGAAATTATATTGAATTTTGCTATTAATAATAATTTATCTAAATTATTATTATTATTAAATGAATGAATGAATTACATTATGATTATATCATAATTAATTTTTTTTATATTGTATTAACATTACCAAGAACTGCAAGCTGTCTGTAAAGTACTATTGGACGCACAACATTAAAAAGCAATAAAACAATGTTTTGTCTGCCTGTTAAAAATAAAATATAAATATAAAACAACTTTAATATGCTAAATATCTACAAGCATCTGGATAGTTGCATTTTGCAATTTGCATTTTGTTTTTCCTGGTGTCTGCAATCAGGACAGACTTTCAATCCATTTTCACTCACTAGACCTGCTGTAAGTGAACATTTATACTAACCTTCTACAACATTTCACTGATGTTCTGCATTCACACATGATGTGATAAATGGAGAAGGGAGATGAAGAGGAGGAGGAGGCATATTATGCAGATCAAAGGAAGGGCTGTGGAGAGCAGAGCGGTTTGATTAGAACGAGGTATTGGAGGTGTTTAGGATGGAGAGGAGGAGGGAGCCGGGTCTCGTCGACTGCGGCCGGAGGGGCCCAGAGGAGCCACGAGGTCAAGTCGAACCCACTGAGTCGCATCAGTGTGGCAGAGCTGGAAATGAGTCCCATGCTGGCGTGCTGGATCAAAGCCCGGCTCCGTTGATCCCTCATGCCCAAAGGCCACCAGTCAAGGTGAAGCCAGAATTAAAAAATCCTGAGCTCAAGGGCTGGAAAATGAGTTTTGAAAAATGAATGAGGGACCGTCCCATGACTTTGGGGTGAGGGAGAAAATAGAGAGCGAGTGAGTGAACGAGAGAACGAGGCAAGGGAATATAGGCATGTGACTCACATCCAGGCCGAGCATGTGTTGAGTGCGATGGATCACTTATGTGAGGGGTCTAATGTCAGTTTTCAGCTCCTGGATCTTGGCTCGCAGACAGCTACTTTCCTCCTCCAGGCATGTCCGCTGATGGTCCAAATCCTGCCGAAATCACAAAGGCAACATCTCCAACCCCTCCACACTGGTGCAAGAAGGCTTCGGCTTTTTAATTTGACTTAACATTATTTTATTTACCCATTATACTGAAGAGACTTTTTTGAAGGATATTGTTTTTTTGTTTGTTTGTTTGTTTTGTAATTTTGAGAAGCCAACATCTCCAACCCCTCCCCACCTCTGCAAATCCAATCTGTCTAAACGAACACTTTAGCTTGAGCTTTGATATAAGCTTTGGAACATCTGCTCCAGGTTGGAGACCTTTTGGCCATAAGCTAAGCTTACCACAAGGTTGCTGGGGTTGATTAGGCTTATGTTGCATGCTGATAAAACACAACAACATGGCTATAAGTTCAAGTAATTACAAGAGCTCATGTGGATATACTCAGAGGTGTAAAGTATTGGAGTAAATGTGATTAGTTACTGTACTTGAGTATCTTTTCGGATACTTTACTCTTTCTTGTTTTTGTTTCATGATCTCTGTGCCTTGCCCTGGACTTTTATGTCACTTCCTGTCTCCCGTGGTATTTGTAGTCAGTTTGTAGTCCGTTTGTTCATTGGTTCCCCTTGATTAGTCTCCTCAGATGTGTCTTATCTTGTTAAGGCCTGTTCACACCAAGGACGGTAACTATAAAGATAACAATAAAGATATAGTTCTAAAAATTGTTCTCAGTATTAAAGAACAGAAGAGTCCACACCACAGCTATGACGATAAAGGCACAGAGAAACGATATCGTTGGAATCATTTTCA